CCGGATTGGCCGATACGTTGAACAATCTGCGATATCGCCTTTATTTTTCCATACCGGAATCGTTGTGCTCTTTGACCAGTCTTCAGTATATGTCTATGTTTATCCAATCTTCCAAAAATGAGTTAATGGAGGGTGGAATAAACATAGACATATACTGAAGAAAGGTAACGTAGTAAATATAGCTGAATATTTTCGGTTAAGAATAACTTACTCATTCTTATTATTTTTTTTGCCTAACTGTGACACCTCTAAAGCTTATTTGCTTATAAATAAGTAGGATAGGATAAATCTTTAAAAACTAGCGTTCGCTCTAATTTATATTGAAAGTAACCATCATGAGTTGTTTTTCTTGATAAATCCGAAAAAAGAATCAGAAGTACTTGGCAAAATTATGAGTCAACCTTTTTTTTTTTACAAAAATCTACTTAGCTCATAGATTACATGGATAGTAAAGCTTTATGTACAGTTAAGTAGTCCAAGACAAAGTTGAAATAGCTTGTTGGAAATATTCGTTAAATCGAAAGCTATTTCTTGATTTGCAACCATAGAAAATTTTTCAGGAGCCACTGGAGATGTAATGTACTCACTGCAGGATTCTATTGAACTCTTTTCCATACATCCAAGAAGCGGAATCCTCACTGTTCAGGTGCGACTACTTTTTCTGTTAATTTTTCTTTAGTATTTAAGGGTTTCAAGTGATTTATATGGAATTTAGCATCCTGAATTCCTCACCTTGAACACGTACGGCTCTAAAGCAAATCTCACAGTGATGGCGACTGACAAAAAGACTTCAATCACAACAACAATTGACATCACATTGACTCCCATAGCTGAAGGATTGAAAGGATTCAAATTTGTAAAGGTTTGGATTTATTGCGGATACGTAGAAGTCGAATAATATTTGTTTAAATGACCCTCTTTTAGTATTTGCAAGAAGTTCGTTATAAGCCTTACATCTGCTTTTCTCAGAAATCCTACTCCTTCGCTGTAACTCCTGGACAAACAATGATAGGC